GGGGGAGCTCAGATGAGTATAATTTGCTTCAAAAGTTTGGAAAGGGGGGGATGGCAGGGGAGTGGAGCTGGGATTTAAAACTATTGCCCCAACAAAGCGGCAACCATTTATTTTCCAATCCCTCTATTTCCATGACATAGTTCTGCCATCGTGTGAAGTTATGGTATCAAATTATGACATTTTTTGTTTTTGTTTAGGTTCCTTTTTGCCAAACTTCTGTCTTTGTTGGCCGAACTTCGCACCCTAAACGACGAGAATGCAAAACAGATGATCCACATCCAGAACATAATGTCTGACGCCATGACCCCGCTCATGAAAGAGATTTTCAGCTGAGGGACATAACCTGGCAGAAGTGAGGAAATCAAATTCCTGCCGAGCATAAGATTGATCATCGGATGTTTCCTCGTCCCGATTCTGCTCAGGCTTGCTCTGTCTATACGCACAAAGAGCTGTTCCTTGGGAAGTTGGCCAACGTTCAACTTAAACTGGTTGCACCTGGAGGTTGGCTAACGTTCAAGATGAACTGGTTGCACCGGGAAGCTATTTCATATTTGAAGCACTTTTTGTCACCGCTGAACATTAACTGTACAAGGACTTCTGTTACAGGAGTCAGAAAATGAATGGAACTAAGGGCAAGGTCATTGAAGGCTGCCAAAGTTAAGGACGACGTTCAAGAAGGTATTAAGGACTCTTTGAGAGGACAACTATGCCATCTTCATCTGATGGTTTGAGGATGAATATGCTGTCTTCACATGATGATTAGAGGACCACCTCACCATCAGTGTCAGGATTTGGGGGCCACCACGCCATGTTCACAAAATGATTTGAGGACAACTATGCCATCGTAGGATGATTTGAGGACCATGATGCCACCTACTCACAAGGATTAGAGGACCACTTGATATGAGCTATATGACCATTTATGGGTTTTGTCTAAGACTAAGCCCAATCAATTAATGGGCAACGGGTCAGTCTACCCAAAAATGATATTGGAGTTATAGATCAGCTCCTGGCTTCTTAGGTAGCCTGGTTGCTTCAGCAGCAAGACCTCCCTGCCAGGATTCTGGACTCTGCCCACCTGAGAGTTTTGGATGTCTCCACCAAACTTTGTGTATCTCAGTTCCTCCTGTTACATTCTCCATAATAACATATAAATCAGGGATAGTGGCAACTTTATATAATGGGCGTAGCTGGAGTGCAGACTCAGGACCTCGTGCAGTAATGATAGAGACCCCCTGATAATAATCACAGCAACTGTGCCGACTCAGGAACCCTACACAGGGATGATGGGAGCACCTCATAATGGGTACAGCAGGGGTACAGACTTGGGAAGTCAGCACAGGGATGGTGGGAGGCCCTCATAATGGGCACAGCAGGGGTACAGACCCAGGATCTCAGAGCAAGGATGGTGGGAGTCCTTCATGATGGGCACAGCAGGGGTACAGATCCGAGATTTCAGAGCAAGGATGGTAGGAACCCCTCATAATGGGCACAGCAGGTGTACAGACACGGGTACTCAGCACAGGGATGATGGGAACCCCTCATAATGGGCACAGCAGGTATGAAGACCCGGGAACTCAGAGCAAGGATAGTAGGACTCCCTCATAATTGGCACAGCAGGTGACCTCAGGGAACTCAGCACAGGCATGATGGGAACTCCTCATAATGGGCACAGCAGGTGTGCTGACCCAAGAACCCAGCACAGGCATGGTGGGAGCCCCTCATAATGGGCATAGCAGGTATGGAGACCCGGGAACTCAGAGCAAGGATAGTAGAACTCCCTCATAATGGGCACAGCAGGTGACCTCAGGGAACTCAGCGCAGGGGTTTCACCAACACAGACCTCAAAGGATAAAAGAGGCTGCCAGCTGGTGTAGGTCTCCAGCATCCTCTGAAATATCGGGTGGACTGACCCTTGAAGCCGATGTTTGCGGGCAGGTAAACCACGATCGATTTCTATCTTAGAGATGAAAATGAATGGCAGATTCCCCACAGCACACAAGATGCCACAACCACGGACGAGCGAATCCCTCCGGGAACATGGTGAATCCGCACTACTACTTACGGACACAAAGAAGCCGCGGGGAATTGGTTAGATAAACCACAGACCAGGGACCCATTTGTTACTGTTATCTGCATCACTGCAACTTACCCCACATAATGGAGCGGCAGTAGACAGGTTCCCGAACGTCCATAAATCATAATGTGATAACTTCAAGCTCCCTCCCCTCGAAACTAAGCCACGGCCACCATTTAAAGTGAGCGAGCAGAAGAGACCCTTTGACATGTCAAGGGGCTTAGGAGGTATTCGCATATAAAATGTTTTTTTGTAAAGCACCTCTAGTATTACAGATTTATATATATTTTTGTAACTTTACAAATGTTCTTTGTCTCAGTCATAATGTACTTGAGCTCAACAGCCAATCAAATGCAGATTTACATTCCTATATTTCCCATGCCAAACTGTGACCTGTATGATGTGATATGTGTCTCTTAAAGGAACCCTTACCTAAAAAAAAAGAGTAATTGGCAGCTTCTTCTGGTTGTCATGCCTGTCTTTCCTTCACTAGCTGTTCCATATGAAGCATGCAGGTCTGGACCTTCACTTGGCTCCAACTTCCCTGACCTGCATCCTTCAAATGGGTCAGTGAAAGTATTGAAGCCAGAGGATCAGAATAAGAGCCGGGCAAGTGGTAATGGCTGCCTTATATCTCTCTCAGGGAATTTAAGTTCCTATACAAATGCCAAATCAGAAGCTGCCCAGGTGACCATCGAGCTGAATGACCCACAATGGGAGTAACCTGTGTCTATGGTGTATGATCCTCAGGAATTCCGTATGTCCAAACTGGAAAACTGCTGATTAAAGTTGTTCTTTAGAAATGTCTCGGGTCTTCCTGGTGTTAGAGGCTCCGGGTAATTAGAGAAACTGCAGATTCTGGGATAAAAACGAAATGCTTTTCCCAAAAAAATGCAAATGACGTCTGCACCACTCTCACCCACCTGCAGATGGCAGACGTGTGTGATGCCTATTGAGAGGCTAGTAGGACACAGCACCACCTAGTGGTTCAGAGAAGGAACGGCACCCTTAGCAGCATACTGTCTGTGAGAATTTCTTTAGGGTATATTTATATCTTTGCGTCATGGTAGAGTGCACATAACCGCCATGTGGGACAACGCACATTAAATGCATTGCAGTTCCATTTTGGATACTCGCTAAGGCGCCATAGAATGTTGCAAATTTGATAACATTTCCAATATTTGGGATGTTTTGGTGAGTTATTTGCAATGGGCTGCCTTACCGCACCACAGTGTTACCCACTCTGTCATCAATTGTTCCTTCTCTCCTTCTCCTACCTTCTCTTTGCTCCCCCACCAGCTGCCAGGACCGTAGAAAAATATCATGAATGGTTGACATGTGACTCACTCTTCTTCCACCCACATGACAGCAGGGTACCAGAAATAAAGTGGACCTGTTGTGTGCTGCCACAGTAGCCTGTTTTATTTTTGTTGCTGTGCATTGGTATCTTCCTCTGTTCCCCCCCCCCGCTTGTGTGTTAGATGGTTCGGCCTTATTCCTTTCCTCTGCGTGTGCATAGTTAGCTTTAGCTAGTAGTGGTCCATAGACAAGTGGCTTCTGAGCCAGGTTTTTTTACCCTCGAAAAAAGGAGACATCCCATTGCCATGCCTGGAATTAACTACATTGGTTTCTACTGGGAGTCTTCTCGGTGAGTTCACGGTGCCTGTGGATCTTGTCAGCCAGTTGCCGAGTTCCCGGGTCTGTACACCTGCTGTGCCCATTATGAGGAGCTCCCACCATCTCTGAGTTGAGTTCCCGGGTCTGTACACCTGCTGTGCCCATTATGAGGAGCTCTCACCATCCCTGTGCTAAGTTCCTGGGTCTGTACACCTGCTGTGCCCTTTATGAGGGGCTCCCACCATCCCTGTGCTGAGTTCCCGGGTCTGTACACCTGCTGTGCCCATTATGAGGGGTTCCCACCATCCCTGTGCTGAGTTCCTGGGTCTGTACACCCGCTGTGCCCATTATGAGGGGCACAGATCTCATTACTGGAGTATAGGAGGCTGGGATTTGACTCCGCCCACTAAGCTTCACCTATATCTTCAATATGACTTTTGGGTGGACTGACCCTTTAATTCTGTCATGTCATGTATGGAGCGGGAAGTGTTTTGCCAATACATAGATCCGCTCCAGGCTAAGCTATAATAGAGGAGCAGGTGCTGCAGCGACACGGGAGTAAAGTGCTGCTCGGCTTCACAATCTGCTGTTTAATAGAGAGCGGTGTTCCTGGCTGTCACTTATGGCACGCCGCCTCCATCTTCATAAAAAGCAGCGATTAGCACTCTGCATACAATTACACGGCCCACACTGCGCTATTTATAGGGAAACGATTTCAAGGACGGCGAGCAAACGTAAAGAAAAACAAACTCCAGAAGATATTTCTAAAGGGTGTTACGTGCAACAACCTATATAATGTGCACACCAGCTGAAATGTTATATCAGGACAGCAGAAGCGGCATCTGCACTGCTGCGCCCATTATGAGAGGCTCCCACCATCCCTGTGCTGAGTTCCCGGGTCTGTACCCCCGCTGTGCCCATTATGAGGGGCTCCCACCATCCCTGTGCTGAGTTCCCGGGTCTGTACCCCCGCTGTGCCCATTATGAGGGGCTCCCACCATCCCTGTGCTGAGTTCCCGGGTCTGTACCCCCGCTGTGCCCATTATGAGGGGCTCCCACCATCCCTGTGCTGAGTTCCCGGGTCTGTACCCCCGCTGTGCCCATTATGAGGGGCTCCCACCATCCCTGTGCTGAGTTCCCGGGTCTGTACCCCCGCTGTGCCCATTATGAGGGGCTCCCACCATCCCTGTGCTGAGTTCCCGGGTCTGTACCCCCGCTGTGCCCATTATGAGGGGCTCCCACCATCCCTGTGCTGAGTTCCCGGGTCTGTACCCCCGCTGTGCCCATTATGAGGGGCTCCCACCATCCCTGTGCTGAGTTCCCGGGTCTGTACCCCCGCTGTGCCCATTATGAGGGGCTCCCACCATCCCTGTGCTGAGTTCCCGGGTCTGTACCCCCGCTGTGCCCATTATGAGGGGCTCCCACCATCCCTGTGCTGAGTTCCCGGGTCTGTACCCCCGCTGTGCCCATTATGAGGGGCTCCCACCATCCCTGTGCTGAGTTCCCGGGTCTGTACCCCCGCTGTGCCCATTATGAGGGGCTCCCACCATCCCTGTGCTGAGTTCCCGGGTCTGTACCCCCGCTGTGCCCATTATGAGGGGCTCCCACCATCCCTGTGCTGAGTTCCCGGGTCTGTACCCCCGCTGTGCCCATTATGAGGGGCTCCCACCATCCCTGTGCTGAGTTCCCGGGTCTGTACCCCCGCTGTGCCCATTATGAGGGGCTCCCACCATCCCTGAGCTGAGTCCCCGAGTCTGTACCCATTATGAGGGGTATATAAAGATGTGCAGACAGATCACTGCTGCGGTGGCACAGGTTAGCCTCTGGATGTGCCCTGGCGGTGGAGGAAGGAGACTCGGGGGTAAACCATCCCAGAGCAGCTGCATTATTGATGGCCCAGCCTACTGCCGTATCAGTGAAGTGCCGCGTTTCGGTCCGGTGCCTCCGTCTTGCACGCAATCCTCCAATATCTACAGACGCGGCACATTAAAGAGCACCGGTCCCATAAACAGAAAGTCTGAAGCTGCCGTTTCATCTGCTGGTCTTCCCCGGCTACCCCTCCCACCTCATTACCATGTGAATGACATCCTGTCACTGTGACACCAACACCGCACCTCTGTACTTTTCTATTCAATGCAGCCAGATCACAGCTGGTGGGAGGAGCCAGCAGGGGGCTGTACATAAAGCAAGCATAGACATGGGGGGGAAATCGTTTTATAAATAAGATCGGCGCCTCCAACAGGCCAAACAGATTGACATCTATGGAATGGTGAAGTAATATTTAAAGGCTTCGGAAGGTGTCAAAGACAGCGCGGCGGTTTCGGGAGTCCAGGTCGGGTGGTCGGGGTTTACTGGAAGGCGGGAACACCAATGGAAGCAGATGAGGCCCTGAGACAGGAAGTCGTGAGAACAAGGGTGTGTATTTAACCCTATTAGTGCTGTGCTCCCTGTACTACATCACATCTCCCAGCAGGGGGCAGCAAAGAGCCTTCAGAGGGCGTGGCCAACTCCCAGCCCATTGGAAGCCACCTTGGCTATGGTGGGATCTTCCCCAAGGGTGTGAGTTTTGCCCTCTGATGAGTTTTGGATGGAGATCCCTCTTGGGGATGTACAGTGCCCAGTCTTCTACAGGGACAAAATTCAAAATGGCGGCACGCTCAATGCTGAGGATTCAATTTGGGGTGAATGCCAAAAAGGTGAAGTACATATTGGCTTGTTATAGTGCTCAGACTGCAGTGGTGAGACCTGGGAGGTCCTGGCCCATAGGACCTCAAGAGGTCTTTATGGGTGGAGTTCATTCTCCATGTTGGATTCCTTCACCACTGGAGGCTTGAAGAGCCAGAAACTGATCCAGCCAACCAACACCCAGCAATAGCCAGGACATCAGCTTTAAGTGGACAGGCCCTTTAAGTTCTCTAGCATCTGCCCACCTTCTGTAGCCATCACCAGAGGTCTGTAGGCCGCCAACAGAGGTCTGTTGGCCGCCAACAGAGGTCTGTAGGCCGCCAACAGAGGTCTGTAGGCCGCCAACAGAGGTCTATAGGCCGCCAACAGAGGTCTGTAGGCCGCCAACAGAGGTCTGCAGGCATCACAGGAGGCCTCCTTCTCTTGGTTAGATCTTTCATTCACTTAAGGCCGCCAACAGAGGTCTATAGGCCGCCAACAGAGGTCTGTAGGCCGCCAACAGAGGTCTGCAGGCATCACAGGAGGCCTCCTTCTCTTGGTTAGATCTTTCATTCACTTATTATGGACGATGCAGCAACAGAAGGGAGACTTCCTTGTGTGTACAGCAGCTGGGCAGAGCTTAGGAAGTCAACTGCAGAAGCCTTTGCACCAAAATCCCAGAGGCCTCCATCCAGAACCGAGAGACTTTTGGAGGGGACTGTTTGGAGGGAGAGCGAGAGGAGCATTCCCATCTTCCCGCAATGGTCGGCTCCCTCCGTCATTATCCCATCCGAGAACCACAAATCAGCACCCTGAGCTCACCGCAGGATCAGAAAGTCAGTTGGGGGTCACCAAGAGGAAATTTTGGGCCCCTTGTGGGTGGACATTGGCTACCCCCCCGGGGCGGCCCTCGTCATCCCACCATAATGTTGAAGCCGCAGTGAAACTTGTTCTTCCAGTGATTCATGAATGCTCCGAGCGCCAGGGTGACGGGAAGAGGGGGAAGTCTTTTCTCCAGGACTGCCCCCACGCACCACGAACTGTCCACCGAGCCTTTGAAGACCACGTTGGCTTTGGGGATGGTCAGGTGGTAGCCGAAAGCAAAGGAGGTTTCCTGAAGGCGAGTGTTGGCTTCAAACTCCACCCCGACCTGAATCTGAAGATGGAAGGGGAACTCTTAATACAATGCAACCAATAGATTAACGTCACACCTATACGCACGCGCACACACACACACACGCTGCAAGAGTCTCCTACAATGGACTGTGAAGGGCCGCTCACTCTGGCTGGTCACATGTTATAGTGACTGATAAAGACTAAACTGGCGCTCGTTTTTTGTTTTTTTTTTGGAGGGGGGAGGTCACAAATTGTAGTGTGCAACATGTTCACCTTCTTTCCAAGGAAACTATACTCCTGTAAGTTGTAAAGACATTTTCAGCGGATAAGGAGAAGTGAAAGTGATTTCAAGCAATAAAAGGGAAAGAAAAGAAATGGGAAAGAACGGTACAGAAGGGCAATGTGAGGGCCAGGCAAAGGAACGGGAGGGCCAGGCAAAGGAACGGGAGGGCCAGGCAAAGGAACGGGAGGGCCAGGCAAAGGAACGGGAGCGCCAGGCAAAGGACAGGGAGCGCCAGGCAAAGGAACGGGAGCGCCAGGCAAAGGAACGGGAGGGCCAGGCAAAGGACAGGGAGGGCCAGGCAAAGGACAGGGAGGGCCAGGCAAAGGACAGGGAGGGCCAGGCAAAGGACAGGGAGGGCCAGGCAAAGGACAGGGAGGGCTAGCTGAGAAAGGGGAGGGCAATGGAAGGAAACAGGTTGAAGAAGGGAGAGAAGAGAAGCATAAGGAAGGGACAAGGAAACGAGGTGGGAGAAGCACTCACTTGTTCATTTGCTTTGTGATAGTAGCTGGCGTGAGCCCCACCGTACCCGATATTCAGGGTGGTCACCCAGTTGTCCGCTGTCAGGAGATATTAACAATGAAATACTGAGCGGGAGAAGGTGAAGGATGAAAGGCGACACAATACAGAGATATAAAAACAAAGTATTACAATGATAATATATCACAGTGTTAGAGAAAGAAGTAAACTCGGCAGCAGTAACATGTAAACCTGAATGATGTAGACACAGTGTGGGTAAAACTTGTACAGAGGAAGATCGCCCCCTGGTGGTCATCCTACAACACAGCACATTGGAAGGTCAGTCATGTGACCCGCTCAGGTCCTTCCAGCTGCAGACAGATGCGTATATATCAGACAGCAATGGGAGCTGATCCCGGTCTGTGGGAAAGCCTCCGAGGAGCAGAGAGCTGACCTACAGCGTCCTATGTCTGTACCTGAATATTTCCCAGCCAATGTCAGGATGGCGCCTTCCTCCCCCATCCGCTGGTGATAGACCAGCTCCCCGCCGAGGACCAACCGGGGAGTAATGCTCTGCAGGAAGTGTGTTACCAGGATCACTGCAAGAGGGAGAAATATACATTGATTATATACAGGAGTGACATCACCGCCCTCCACATATATTACACAGGAGTGACATCACCGCCCTCCACATATATTACACAGGAGTGACATCACCGCCCTCCAGATATATTACCCAGGAGTGACATCACCGCCCTCCAGATAGATCACAAGGAAAAGACATACTTGAGTCGTTGATGATATCGGGGTTCCCCAAGGTCAGTGTCCCCGTAGAATTGTCTCCCCGATATTCCACGTCAATCTGCCAGGTGAGGAATTTGGAATGATGAGTCTGCAAAATAGAAACATCACAAAAATGACAAAAATTAAAGAAATCGGAGAAACAAATTTATAAATAAAAAAATAAAAAACAGCAAAAAAAAAGTTAAAAAACTTCACATTTCTCTGTAGAGGAGCCGAGGTCGGATCTCATCCTGTAGAATCAGACCTAGGTGACGGGTGGCCTCATGGACCAAAAGAGAAGTAGGAGGGGGCGGAGCCAGGCTGGACTTACAGGGCTCATTCACGCCTTCACACAGCCACCTGCACATCCCTATGGGAGGACGTGGCTACACCCCTGAACCTGCACATTGATGGGGATTTCTGTGCCCTCACATGGACACAGACAGACGAGATACACTTCACTCCCTGCTTCACCTGCTGGGATATCAGCCGCACGGGGAGGGCGTTGTTTTCACTGAGTCACCTGACTCTTTTACTTGCATTGTGAGAAGGAGCAGCAAAGCACATGACTGGGAACACTTCATATGGGATGCTGTTAAAGACGTAGATGGCACAACGGAGGCTGAGGGACACCATGGGGTCTATTTATGACAGATATGCAGAGCCAGTCACCCTCCAAATCTTTCTGTGCAAAGAAAAGCAAAAACCAACGTTCTTGGCTGCGTTTTCCTTTCAGATCCAGTGTAATGTAATACTGAATTATGGCCACTATATGGATCCGAGGGGCATAGGAAGCAAGTATTTTATTCCAGTGCTCCTCAGCTCCATCTAGTGGCCACAGTGTGGTATTACATCACACCCCCTATACAGCACACCCTCATACACCCCTATACATATTTCCTGTGCTCTCATCTAGTGGCCATAATTCAGTATTAAATTATACCCCTATACAGCACACCCTCATACACCCCTATACATATTTCCTAAGCTCCTCAGCTCCATCTAGTGGCCACAGTGTGGTATTACATCACACCCCCTATACAGCACACCCTCATACACCCCTATACATATTTCCTAAGCTCCTCAGCTCCATCTAGTGGCCACAGTGTGGTATTACATCACACCCCCTATACAGCACACCCTCATACACCCCTATACATATTTCCTGTGCTCTCAGCTCTCATCTAGTGGCCATAATTCAGTATTAAATTATACCCCTATACAGCACACCCTCATACACCCCTATACATATTTCCTGTGCTCTCAGCTCTCATCTAGTGGCCATAATTCAGTATTAAATTACACCCCCTATACAGCATACCCTCCTTATTTCCTGAGCTCCTCAGCTCCATCTAGTGGCCACAATGTGGTATTACATCACATTCAACCTGATTAGGGCTGCAACAACTAATCGACATAATCGATTATAATCGATTATTGAAAAAGTTGTCAACTTTTTCAATAATCGATTAATCGGCTTCCGATCAGTTGGCAATAAAAAAAGAAATATGTCTAACAATGTTCGTTTTTGCATCTATTCACACAGAGTGAATGTTCATAAGGATGCACGGGGTGAATGGCTCTGCGGATTTGGTTATTAATAGACCACTATGATTCGTACGATGTCGCTGATCAATGACTGTCCGTTTCAGATGCTGATTGCTGGACAACCCGGAGCCAAACATGGCGCTGCGCATCCAGATACATGTGTTCCGTGGCTGTTGAAGGTGGTATATGAATCTTGTCTCTTCCGTGTGTATCTAAGGCAGGGGTGGGCAATCTCAGCACTCCAACTGTTGTGGAACTACAAGTCCCATGAGGCATTGCCAGACTGGCAGCCACAGGCACGGCTCCCAGGGGCATGATGGGATTTGCAGATAACGAGGAGTCTATTTTCTCGTTATGAGGAACAGATTGTAATTAGGGACGGCTGCTGGGAATATTTTGCACACTTGTACCGAGTTGGCCCCGCCCTTCTAGTTATAAATCGATGGAGGCTTCTGGCCATTTTCTCTCCTTCTACAAGCGCGCGGCTCCGGTAATTAGCGCAGACGAGGCTCATGAATAATGCGCGCCGCTCTGCTGCTGCCGTGTTATACGGCGCTCGGAGAACGAGGTCACCCCCATTACCTGGAATACGGCCTTGGAGCGGATGCGTTCGGCCAGCAGGCAGTGCGCCTGAGAGTTCAGACTGCCGCTGTTGTCCAGATCGCCGGTCAGGAGCGGGAACGTCTGCGGGTCAGAGAAGAGAAGACAGGACGGTCACATCCAGGGGCATTTCCCCATCTCTGGGGGTACGAGAGAGAGAGAGAGAGAGAGAGA